CATTTTATTTGTTTTATTTGTTTATTTGTTTTAAATCTTTATTGTTGAAAGTATCATATATGTCCATTTTTCCCCCCTGGACCCCTTCTAGACTGGCCCTGCCCCCTGTCCCAGGCCTTCAATGCCCTATTATCTGTGTCCATGGGTTATGCATGTATGTATACAAGTTCTTTGGTTGATCTCTTCTCACCCACCCATCCTCCCCCACCTTCCCTCTGAGATTCTGCAGTGTGTTTTATGCTTCTATGTCTTTAGATCTATGTTCATCAGTTTATTTTGTTCATTAGATTTCACATATGAGTGAGATCGTGTAATACTTGTCTTTTCTGACTGGCTTATTTTGCCTAGCATGATACTCTCCAGATCCCTCCATGCTGTCTCAAAGGGTAAGAGATCCTTCTTTTTTTTACTGCTGCATAGTATTCCATGGTGTAGATGTACCACAGCTTTTTTATTCACTCATCTGCTGATAGGCACTTGGGCTATTTCCAGATCTTAGCTATTGTAAATTGTGCTGTTATGAACATAGGAGTGCATGCATTCTTTCTGATTGGTGTTTTGGATTTCTTAGGATGTATTCCTAGAAGTGGGAATCACTGGATCAAAGGGCATATCCATATTTAATTTTTTGAGAAAACTTCATACTGTTTTCCATAATGGCTGCACCAGTCTGCCTTCCCACCAGCAGTGTACTAGCGTTCCCTTTTCTCCACATCCTCACCAGCACTTGTCATTTGTTGATTTGTTGATGGTAGCCATTCTGTTATTGATTTTTTTAGAGCACCTTTATACTTGAACTGCCCATATTCTGTTTCAAATAAAGTCTCAGAGCTGTCTGTTTTATAACTACCTCTCCCCCAGGCAGAATGTCTGAGCTGCCGCTCTGAGCTGCGGGCAGGGACAGTTAAGCCCATCTCCCTGAGTGACACCGCTGCCTTAGATGGGGCAGCAGCCTGTGGTCTCAGCTTGCCCCGCCCAGCGTGGAACCTCCTTCTGAGGAATGAGCTGGGGCTTGAGCATTGTGGTGTCTGTATTCCTGACCTGCTGGACCCAAGGCAGAGCTTGCGCCTTCCGAGTGGGGGCTGGTGAAAGGAGGGAGCCTGGCCTCTCGGCTCCATCAGCTGGGACTTAGCCTCTGCAACATGGAGCTGAAAGTGGAACTCCACTACCCGAGTTTTAGAATCACAACTATGAAAAAGAGAGCAAGAAACTTGGGATCAGATCTTTTTATACTTTGAAATGGGAGATAAGGGAGTGTGGGCCTGTGTGAATATGTCCCCCTTACAGTCTTGGAAGAGATTGCATATCTTAAGGTCATATAGCAGTTGTGACAAGGCAGGGATGTGTGCACGGAGTCTGGCTCCAGAACCTGCCTTGATTTAACACAGCCGTGGGCAAACTACGGCCCGCGGGCCGGATCCGGCCCGTTTGAAATGAATAAAACTAAAAAAAAAAAAAAAAAGACCGTACCCTTTTATGTAATGATGTTTACTTTGAATTTATATTAGTTCACACAAACACTCCATCCATGCTTTTGTTCCGGCCCTCCGGTCCAGTTTAAGAACCCATTGTGGCCCTCGAGTCAAAAACTTTGCCCACCCCTGATTTAACCTCTGCTGAATGGTGGAAGCCTCTGGGACCTGGTCCCATGCATTTCAGTTTGTGTTTCTAGGACCTCCAGGTACAGACGACTGTGTGCAGGTGTGTATTTATTTGTTCTCTGCCTTTTCCCACCAGGTGCTCGTGTCTCCACAGCCTCCATGTTTAAAGGAGAACATGTGTGAGGAGTAGACGCGGCTTCTTCCACAGCCTCTCTGGGGCCACAGGACAAGGAACGGTTGGAGTGGACACGTTGTTCTGTACTCGACCTCTCAGTGCCTCCTGTGCTGGCCATGCCTGTGCCCACAGAGGGCACCTCACCACCCCTGAGTGGCACCCCGACCCCAGTCCCAGCCTACTTCCGCCATGCAGAGCCTGGCTTTTCCCTCAAGAGGCCCAGGGGGCTTAGTCAGAGCCTTCCGCCCCGGCCCCCCGCCAAGGGCAGCATCCCCATCAGTCGCCTCTTCCCTCGGACCCCAGGCTGGCACCAGCCCAAACCCCGGAAGGTGTCATTTCAAGGCAAAGCCTCTGGGACCCTGCAGAGCCCCAGTTACGACCCAAGCCGGCCGGAGTCCTTCTTCCAACAGAGTTTCCAGAGGCTGGGCCGCCTGGGTCGTGGCTCCTACGGAGAGGTCTTCAAGGTGAGTGGAGTGACGGCGCTGTGGGCCTGTCTGGGGTGCCCCCTTGCCTCCCTCCCTCTGCCTGGATGGGATAGTATCCTGGGCAGCCTGCTCCCCTTCTCTCCTGACAGCCCACTTCTCCTGGGCTGACAGACACCCCTCCTCAGTGTTTGATTTGGCTGCTTTCTCATAAGCCCCCACACAGGCCCCTTCGAGGGCCCCCTCAGTGCACACTCTCCCTTTGTCCAGAGCCTGGCAGTGGCTCCTGGCTACCATCTCCTCCCACCCTGCAGCCAGCTGTTCTTGGCAAGCTCTGCCTGGTCCCAGAGCCAGCCCCAGAGTGCAGCGCACACCCTGCCCCCGCCACCCCCCAGGCCGCAGATACTTAGGCTATACTCTGTACACCACCTTTTTTTTTTTCTTAAAATATATTTTCCAATAGTTTATATTTCCTTTAAAATGATAGCATTCCTTACACAAGTACTACAGACAACGTGGGCCCCCAGATTAGCTCTTCTTCCAGAGGAGACCGCTGGGCTTCTCGGGTGGGCACCCTTCCTTCCAGAACCCTCCCTATACATCTCTAGAATTGGCCATATAGAAACAAACCAATTAGTATTCTACACAGTGGATCACACTGCCTATATTGTTCCGAAGCCAGCTTTTTTATTTCATAATAGCTTGAGACCCTCCAGATTAGTACTTAGATGCCTGCCCTGCCTCTTCCTTGCTTGGGGCTCTAGTGAGCCAGTGCCTGGGGTGGAGGTCTGTCTGGTCTTGCTGTTGCATGTGCAGGGTCTCTAAGGTAGATGCCACGCTGCACCTTCCACACGTGAAATCGTAATAGAATCTGCTGTTCTGCTAAACGGCTGTGCTACTTCCCATCCCACCCTCAGGTACTATCTCCCTTGCAGGTGCGTTCCAAGGAAGATGGCCAGCTCTATGCCATAAAGCGTTCCATGTCACCATTCCGGGGCCCCAAGGACCGGGCCCGAAAGCTGGCTGAGGTCAGTGGCCATGAGAAGGTGGGGCAGCACCCATGCTGTGTGCGGCTGGAGCGAGCCTGGGAGGAGGGCGGCATCCTGTACCTGCAGACAGAGCTGTGTGGGCCCAGCCTGCAGCAGCACTGTGAGGCCTGGGGCACTGGCCTGCCTGAGGCCCAGGTCTGGGGCTACCTGCGGGATACCCTCCTCGCTCTGGCCCACCTGCATGGCCAAGGCCTGGTCCACCTTGACATCAAGCCTGCCAACATCTTCCTGGGGTCCCGGGGCCGCTGCAAAGTGGGTGACTTTGGGCTGCTGGTGGAGCTGGATGAATCTGGAGCTGGTGAGGCCCAGGAGGGAGACCCCCGCTACATGGCCCCCGAGCTGCTGCAGGGCTCCTATGGGACAGCAGCCGATGTGTTCAGGTAAGGGCTGGGCCATGGGCGGCCCTTCATGGCTGGGGTGCAGTCAGCAGAGGGAGGGAAATGCCATCCTAGCCCAAAGTCAGAAGATTTGGCCTCAGGCTGGGAGACTGCCCTGAGGGGGTGAAGCCACCACCCTCTAGTTGAGGGTAGTCTACAGTCAGGCTGTCTAAGCAGCAAATCATCTGGAGTTACTTTACTAGATTCACCCTCTCTTTACCACATCTCCATGGAGGGACTATTATTACTCCATGTGTAGGGGAATGGGCACAGTGGGGTTAAAGGACTTGCCCAGAGTCCACAGTTAGCAGGGGGTAAAGCTGGGACTAGACCAGGCACTGGGTTCCATGACGCATGTCAGTAACCATTGCTCTGCCTCTAACCGTCTATCCAGCCATATCTACAGGATCCTGATAGTAACACTAGTTACCACAGTGCCTATCTGGCAGGGGTGCCAGGAGGACTCATCGCAGTGGTTTGTGGGCTGCACTGACACTGGGCCCATGCTTCATGAATGTGTTCCCCTCACTGGCTCTGCTGGGGCCTTCTCCGAGCCCCCAGCCACCCCTTCCCCACCTGCCTGGCTCATGGTAGAAGACAGCGGCTCTTTCCACCCTCTTCTGAGGGGCATCCTGGGGCTCTGGGATCTGTGGCCCAAGGCTAACCTTGTCTGTCCTCTGTCCCTGTCTCCACCCCCCTTCCCCCCAGTCTGGGTCTCACCATCCTGGAAGTGGCGTGCAACATGGAGCTGCCCCATGGTGGAGAGGGCTGGCAGCAGCTGCGCCAGGGCTACTTGCCCCCTGAATTCACTGCCGGTGAGTGGGGGAGGGAGGGGACATGGTGCTACAGACTTGTGTGAGGAAACGGTTGGTTGTGAGAGGCTGCTGGGCTCAGAGCCCGGTCACCCTTGACATAGTTCTACCCTGTGGACAGGCCTGTCTTCTGAGCTGCGGTCTGTCCTCAGCATGATGCTGGAGCCTGACCCCAAGCTGCGGGCCACAGCCAAGACCCTGCTGGCCCTGCCCATGCTCAGGCAGCCACAGCCCTGGAGCGTCCTGTGGTACATGGCTGCGGAAGCCCGGAGCCGAGGCTGGGCCCTTTGGCAGGTAAGACTGGTGAAGGTAACAGACTACCCTGCTTCTGGCCCTGGATTCTGTCCAGCCTCCCTTGGCCCCCTGTCCCCACAGGCCCTGCTTGCCCTGCTGTGCTGGCTCTGGCATGGGCTGGCTCACCCTGCCAGCTGGCTACAGCCCCTGAGGCCTCCAGCCACCCCGCCCGGCTCGCCGCCCTACAGCTTCCTCCTGGACAACAGCCACTCCAGCAACTGGGATGACGACAGCATAGGGTGGGTGAGAGCTCAGGACTGAGGGGCAGGGTGGGGAGACGGGCTGTCCGCTTGGCCAAACCCCACGCAAAGGCCAGGCTCCATGGGGATTAGTGGTGAGCAGGGGCCCTCCCATAAACCTGGCCCCCATCATGCCCTGGGAAGGGCACCAAGGCTGGTGGGAGTACAGCCTGGCCTGGTTTGAATGCAGTTGTTTCTTCTGAGCTCAGAACATGGAACAGCTGCTGTGCAGAGCACTGCAGAACGGCAACTTCACACTTCGGGCACTGCCACACTAGGGAGAGGCAGGTGGTGCAGCTCCAGCCGCAGTTCAGGCTGCCAGTGCCCAAGGACAAGGCCTTGTCCTTTTCAGGGGACAAAGTTCCCAGAGCCTGGTGAGCCCCCATCCTGGGAGGAATTCCTTAGTCCCAGATGCCTGGTGGCCAAGTGAGAGGCTATAATTAAGAAACTGTGGCAAAGGAAAACCACATGCTCAGGGCAGACAGTTCCCAGGAGAAACCACACCATTAACCCTTCCTTGAAAGTGTGATCACAGTGCAGTCCTGCTGGGCGGCTCAGCTAGTTGGATCATTGTCCTATACACCAAAAGGTCGTGGTTTTGATTTCCGGTCAAGGCATATACATAGGTTTCGGGTTCCATCCCTTGTCAGGGTGCCTGTGGGAGGCAATCTGTTGGTGTTTCTCTCACATTGAAGTTTCTCCCTCTCTCTCTCTCTCTCTCTTCCCCACCCCCCCCTTCTTTTCTAAAATCAATAACAACATATCCTTAGGTGAGAATTAAAAAGAAAATGTCACCCTGTTGTCATAGGGACACTTTATAGCAGAAGAGAAGTGCAAAATAAGCTTCATTTACCACAGGTTCACTTCAAAGCCAGCCCATGTGTTCTGAAAAGGGACTAGGTGATCAGGGAGACTTTAAAAGTTGTGCGAATGATTCTTTCAAAGGGCACCACACTTCATTGCCTGTGTCCAGTAGGAACCTACACAGGGACAGGGTTGATTGTGCTGTTCCCACAGCCTCCTCCCATGCACTCCCCACTGCTTTGACATCCTGCTTGTCTTGCCCACCCCGTGCAGACCCTCATTCTCTCCAGAGGCCATTCTGGCCAGGACCGCCAGGAGCACCTCCTCCACTCCCCAGAGGAGGCAAACACTGAGGTGGGTAGGCCCAGGGTCAGAGGTAGGGAGGTGGGAGGGTCCTTTCAAATCCTGAGTGTCATTTCTCTCTCTTCTATCCCCTAGGGATGACCTGGACCTAAGTGACATTGACTCAGAGTCCCCTCATGGCTCCTTCCCCTCCTTTGAGCCTCGGAACCTCCTCAGCCTGTTTGAGGACTCACTGGGCCCAACCTGAGCCCATTGCAGCCTTGGTGCTTTTAACCTTTTAGCTCCTTCCCCCATCCTGGAGGCTGGGGTCCCTCTGGGCACTCCCGTGGTCCCTTCTGCCCGGCCATGTCTAATAAAAGATATCTGAATCTTGGGAGCACCCAAGCTTGCTTGCATGGCAACACAGCACTTCCTGCCCATTTTATTGACATCGCCCAGGGTCTGAGGGCCCTGGGACGGGCTGAGGCTGAGGCTGGCTGCAGAGCCCCAGGCCAGCACATTGCAGCTGGGAGCCCCATGCTGTGTGGGCCAGCGATTTCCTGAGCAGGCGTGTCCCCGGTGGGCAGGTTGAGCCTTCAGAATATGGCACTCAAGGTGGAGGGTGGGCCCTTAGCCCAGTGGTCCAGGGCCACTCAGCTCTTCACATCTGTGCCAGTTGCCTGGGAAAAGCAGCAGCAATCTTCCTGCCCCTTGGTCCTGGGATCAATGGATAGTCCTGCTGTCCAAACCCCTCACTCCATTCTGGACAGAGGAAGAAGGGGTGGGTGAGCCTTAGGTTGCTGGATGGGCTGGCATGCAGGGCCAAAAGATGGAGGAATCGTGGATTGGTGGCCGGGCCAGCCACCCATGAGGTACCTTAGAAGGGGCAGGGTGGGGCTATGGCTCTGGGCTGGCAGGACTCCAGCCATCAGAGCTAGACGGACCCCAGCATCCCTCTGGTCCAACCCTCACAGGTCACAGAGGGTGAACAGGCCCTCAGAAGGACCGGTTTCCTTCTAGCTGCACAGGAAGACGCTGCCCTGGAAGAAGGCGGGGAAGGAAGCTGGAGCTCCGAGGTGTGGGTAGAGGAGAGGCTCGTCCACAGGGAAGAATGGGTGAACAGCTGGGAGGCATCCAAGGAGCCAGTCCCTTGCAGACCAGCAGAAGGAGGGAAGCCTGGTGGTGTTGGCCCTAGAAGACTGGACAGGCTGGCATTGTGTGGGCCATGGCTCAGTCTGGGGGACAGGCGTGGCGGGCGGCCCAGAGCAGGTCAGGCACGACGCCAGCGTGCAGCTGCAGGATGGAGCCCACACTGAGCAGATGCATGATCTGGTGTGAATTGCCCCAGTAGTCGAAGCGGCCTGGTCCCCAGCGCTCTGGCAGACGGGCCACGTTCACTAGCCCCCCAAGCAGTGCTAGGGCGTCCATGCGCAGGTAACAGGGCAGGGAGCCTGGAGCTCCAGAGCCCAGTCCCACTCCCCGGGCCCCAAACACCAGGAGGCGGGCACCAGCCTGCCAACCAAAAGCTCGAAGACGGGCACTGGTGGAGGGAGCGGTGAGGGCCCTCCAGCCAGCCACACCTGACAGCATGGTGTAGCCCACCAGGGCAGCTGGGCGCAGCCAGGGCCTGCAGGCCAGGGTGCAGTGGATGATAGGCAGGGCCCCTGCACAGAGGAGAGAGGCAGGAGAGGGCACATCAGTTTGGGGACTGCCTGCCCTTTCATGTGAGTGTCCCCTGCTGCCCCCTCCCCAGTTGCCCCCCAGCTTCCATTCTTCTAGCCCCCCCACCCCATCCTTTGGCTCACCGAGGGTGTTGACGAGGCAGACCCCACACATATCCAGGGCAAGGAGCCGAGTGTACACAGGGCTGCCCCCTTGATGGCACATGAAGAGATGATAGAGCACAGAGCCTGCAGGTGGTGCCAGGCAGGCCACACAGTGTGTGCCCCCCAGCCAGCCATCCTTGCCCAGCTGACCCCAGGGCATGGTCATTGGCAGCAGCACCAGGAAGCCCAGCAGGGCCAGCCCTGGGGGAGGGAAACAGTTATCCATCACACAGCTTCAGCAGAGAGGACAGGTAATGTCCTCAGGGAGTCCACAGTCTAGAGGCAACATGAAAGGAATGAGAGCAAGACAGGTCTTGACAATAGTGATAGACAACTATCGCCAGACCTGGGACAGAGGCAGGCCCTGGGTTTTCGGAACTTTACTTACTCAGCAGGCTCACAATAGCTCTGGAAGTAGAACAGATTACGCCCACTTCGCAGGTGAGGAAACTGTCCCAGGTGAGTAGGAGAGAGCCCAGGCCTTCTAACTCCCAGGCTGCTCTCACCCCTGCAGCCACATTACATCACCTCCCCAGAAAGCAACGGCCCCCAACCCCCAACCTGCCCTCTGTGTCAGCAGAGGCCAGAAGGAGGCGTGACTCAAGCTGAGTTCTGCAAAGAACACGTGGGCAATGATACCCGATCCCAGGACAACTTAGCTTGTTCCTCCCAACCCCGTGTCCTCTCCATACGTGACCAGACAAATGAAGGCTTTGAGCCCTTGTCTTTCAAAAGGGGTGAGGCAAGGCAGGGGAAGGGGGCAGAAAGGAGTTTGTTCCATCTCCCCAGCACCTCTCCTGGGTGCTCAATTCCTCCCAGCCCAGGCGTCCTACCTTTCCCTGCTGGCACTCCAGCATTGCCCTCACAGGGGTCAAAGATGGGCACTGCAGGCTGGGGCCGCTGACTGCACTATCGGCAGGGTCTGGCCAGGCCACAGTCCCCCAGTGGGACAGGTACCAAGGCTGGGCCCGGCCTGCTCAGGGGCCCTCGCTGCCGGGACAGGCCAAGGACGTACAAGGCTGTGTCAGCACAGCTCCACGGGGCCGCGGAGGAGGGGCCCCGACGCCTGTGGGGCGGGGTGGGTGGGGGGAGGTGTTGCCACCAGGCGGAGCCCCAAAGACTGGGTTGCTCTGATGGGGTAACAGGGCGGCTACGCGGGGAGGGGCCGGGGCCTGGCTTTTGCTCCTGGATTACTTCTTGCCCAACTCAACACCCAGGTCCGGACGGCGGCAGGCAGGAGCGGGGAAGCGGGCGGGGAGATGCGCAGGGGGCCGGGATTACGAAGGGGCTGTACACTAGGCTGCTTCTCCCCGGGGCTCAGAGGGATTAAGTGGACTGGGTCCCCCACTCTGCTTCCCTTGCCTGCCCGGGGGCCCCCGCCGGGGTAGCGGAAGCAGGTAGCGCCGTCCGGGACAATGGCAGCTTTGTCACCGCGGCTCCAGGCTGTGCCAGGGCCGGGGCAGCCCAGGATCAGGGCACTGGGG